CTATATTTTGCCCTGATTTAAGCCTGAGAACTAGTAGACACCTTTGAAAATCAAACAGGAACGAAAAATTTCAGTGAAACAATACTCGACCGCCGACTAGAAGTTGAGGCTTTGATAGCGGAGCTCCAACCGCGAGCGTAGAACTACAGCTAAGAAAATTTGGTAATCTGTCCATCCGAGAAAATTTGGTTATGACGTCAGCGTACGACCGAACGCTGACCGTACCGACTCTAGGGGAGGGGGGAGGGAGTCAGGAGTCAGCCCTTCGGGGAAGGAGTAGGTTATAGCGTAGCCCCATGGCTAAGAAAATTTAGTTCTATCCATTCGAGAAATGTTGGTAGTAAGGTAGTGTGGAATGATATTGCACATTCATGTTGTAACTGACAGCTGTCAAAACAGGGTATCCGCTGACCAGTATCACATGACCTTATGGCGGACTCACGGTTTTGCCCCAGGTTACGTGCTTTTCTTTTTTCACGCGCACAGCTCACGAAATAAGTTGTGTTCTAATATGGAACAGCGGCCGGACTTCGGACGCGAAAAGTGAGCCTTTTTTGCAGGTACGGAAGGCAGTTACTATTGAGTTAAATTACCTAAAATACCTATCTAGCCGATGTTTTTAAAACCAGCCTAACGAAATTTGCAGTCATTTGAGTGAAAAGGCGTCAGAAGTAACTGGTCTTTTTGGGCCCGATAAGCTCCAAAATCGCACTAACGAAAGGAGAAAAGGAGAGGAAAGGAGGAAAAGAAAGAGCGAGGAAGAGGAAAGGAGGAGAAGAGAAAAAAAAGTGATGGTTGCACTCAGTTAGTTTTATAATGGCTACTTGGAGTTTACGGCAGAAAAAAAACTGTTAGACGGAAAAAGGTCCATTTGGCGGTAAAGGTTTTTTTTTTTAATCCGGCTAGATATCTAAAAATACATATCTGTAAATTACCCTGTCATCACAATTGTCAGAAAAACCTTCCTGTTACTAAACAAACTAGGCTGTAGAAGAAGTATCATCAGCTAAATCCCTTAGACTTGATCTACAGCCACCAAACCTTAAAGTGTGAATGCCATTAAACGGATTTGGGATCTTATCCCTTTTAATATTTTAATGTATTATTTAAAGTTTCTCATAGTCTTATTGAGCCTCACTTTTTTTATTGCAACGTAAAGTGTGGAAACTTTATGACCTTCCTGAAAACCTTAAGAGGCTTCATAATCACACAGCCCGCATATTTTTCATGTATGTGTGCTCCAGGTATTAAGAAGGCACAAAATCTGTCATCGCAGATTAGACAAGAAATCGATCAGGATGTTTAAAACCTGTCATGGGATGACAGGTGGAATGTCCACAATCAAGATTTGTTCATTTCGACAGCGTGGCTGTTTTCCTCTGACGAACACTGAAAACAAACTACAATCCTGGACAAAAATACTAGAGAAAATGTTTTCATTAATGTGCACTACCTAACGCAACAAAACTATTTCCAAATGAACGGCTTTGGGTAAAGAAAACCCATTCCCCCAGTTCAAAGTTGCTTCCTACAAATGCTTAGGGATCCGGCTTTCTTTTGAAGACCCAACAACACTGCTTCCAGGGGGAGGGGGGGAGGGAAGAATCGGTCGGCGACGAAGTCTAGAAAAAATGCCCCCAAGCACGCAATTTTCTCAACAGTTTTGTCCAAGATTGTAGTTTGTAACAGAGTCTCCCTTACCTTGAAGTTATCTGCGGTCATTTCCACGTCATTTGTTGTTAGTTTACGATAAATTCCCATAAGCTGTTGGGAAATTCGGTTGTGATTAAGGAAAACTTTGTGCTGTCGAGACGAAGTCGCAAAAACGGCCATAACCTGTAACATCATTAAGGGGACTTAGGATATAATATTCGTCAACAATGAAAACAATGATTGGCTTTGACTGTTCGCAATATACATTCAATTAACTGTCTGTTCTTTTTCTGATTTTTCCCACAAGGTAACAACTTCTGTAGTTTCTCAGTGAATCTGTGTAGCGTGACGTGGTCAGTGTATAAAAGAATGCACAAAATGTAAATCAACTTACACTTGAACGACCCCGCTGTCTGATCTTGTCTCAACGGCTCCAGTCAATTAACCATTAGCTCTTGAAGTACAAACTGTATCTTCGCTACAGTCTATTGTAGTGGAGGAAAGTACTAAATAACATCGACCTAAACCAAATGAGTCATCGATATGTCAGCGGCGTCTTACAAAATGACTACGACTTCCGCTCAGCTTGATCGATCGCAGCGAGGATGTTGTATTTGAGTTATTTTGAGTTATAAAACGGTCAATATTGTCGTTTCTAGTTTATATTACTTAAAAAATCTTAAATCTGTAACTCAGCTGTATTGCATTGAACGACGCGGGCTTATGGTCTTTTCGCGGAACTTTGGTTTCGGTCGATGTTATTTAGTGTCAACACGTCAGGAACGGAGATGGCCGACACAAGTCATTGGCGTTAACAGTCAACGACCCCTGTAACGCAATCCCAAACCTGTTGTCTTAAGTAAGTGACATATGTGTGTTACTTCAGATCTGATCAAGATTTTGAGAGCATGTTCAACAGCCAATGATATTAGTGCTCCCCATAGCACCATAAATTGCAAGTACCCTGTTGCCAGCGAGTAGTCTGCTCAGTTTTAATGGCGAGAGACCTCGAGCGTTTGGGGTACGTTAATTGATGGTTTTCACAGTGACGTCATCAGATTGCAAAGAAAAGTGAGGTTTAGTGATGAATAGAAAATAAATCTTTATACAAGTTTCCAGCCCCGAAGCATGTTTCATTTCGAAAATACAGCAATTTGAACTTCCGAGTTTTCACAGTGCGTGACACCAAAATAGGAATGCTGTTTCATTGAAAAAAGTCTGTTCTCTTGATTTTCAGCAGTTTAACCATTTCAAGTATTAAAAGATGTGTTTGTGCGTACGTATGCTAGTTCTCGAGTGAAAAGGAAGAGCTTCTATAGAAAAAGTGAACTCCAGATGTTTTTGTTGATTTCCGGCGGCCATATTGGTGGACAGTTTCTGTCCACCAATATGGCGTCTCCATACAAAGCTCTACAAAGGTGCGTGAAATGTTTCGGCAAATAACTCAGAAACTGTGGGCCACAAAGACCTAGGATTTGGACAAATTATTTATATATTAGTCTTTTATAACATTTCCTTTTCTTGGCTTCTTGTACTGGACGGTTTCCAACTTATTTTTTTGTGCCGTGTTTATTGCGTGACAGTGAAAACGAATTTGCATTCCGACAAGGTGAACTATTGACAGCGGACTGTGGTTTGGGGTCAAGTTCCCAGAGGGGGTAGTCCGGATTTCAAGTGACAGGGATGATCGAATGGAGAAAAAAAAATCAGAACCAAAAAAAAAATCCCTTGGGCTTCAAACAAAACTCAAAAAAATCCCTAGACCAAAATTTCACCCCCAAAAAATCCAATGCTGAATTTCCGAGCCACAAAAATTTCCAGAAAGCTTAAATGATATAACACGAAGAATAGAGACATCAGTTTTTAATACCCAAAAAACTCCTTACTTCAATCAAGCTACCCAAAAAATACTTGCCAAAATTTTCCAACCCAAAAAACTCCAGAAATCGAAAATTTCAACCCCCAAAAAATCCTTCGATCATCCCTGTCACTTGAAATCAGGAGTACCCCCTCCTCCCCCCCCCCCCCCCCCCCC